AATATATGACTGGTGCAAATATGATAATCCTGACACGCGTGTCATGTAAGAACATGACAACATACCACGCTTATAGCGTGCTCGTGGCCGTTCCGCTAGCTTCACATTTAATTAATTTGGTATCGCGTGACGTGAATACCACACTCATAGCATGCTCGCGGCTGTTTATCTAGCTCCACATATACTAAATTTGGTATCACGTGACGTGAATAGATGACGAAGGTAAACGACGCATCCAAACATGATAATCACGACACGGAAGTCATGTACGGCATTACTGACCTCCATCTCGTAACGTTGTGTTGATTTTAAGGTGACATATCAACATTTCTCATTCGTGCTTCGCATATCATGGGTGCACTGTTCGTGAGATCTGCCATTTTTTAGTTTGCATCTTCAAAACACACAGAGACAAAGCGGAAATAGGGAGGGAACAGGCTGTAAACTGTAGCCTATAAGGGCACAACGCCTGCCTGCTGTTTGGCAAGGGAAGGCACTAAAGAAAGAAAGAAAGGAGGAAAAAAGGGAGGGAAATGAGGAATAAAGAACAAACAGTGACAAGCGAAAAAAATGCAGACGAGAAGGCATTGAAAACGGTCCTCGCTACGCTATTGCAATCTCCTTTTGGAGACTGAACTCGACTATCGATGTTTTTAACGCGATAGCGGTAAAGAGCTCGTATAGTAGGGAACGCGTCGGTGGCGTCGGCCCCGTTGGTTGTGAGCGAACAATCATCTGTGAGTGCGCCTGCGACCAAAAAATCAAGTTACCGAGATAGCCGCAGGAGGCCGCTACTTCTCTACGCGTGCGCACGCGATCACACACTGTAAGCAAAAGTTAGCCGAAATGGGAGTTTTTCCAGCAAATGAGCCCACAAAACTCCCCTGCCCAAATTATTTACTCCCTGGTATGGAGTCAACTCGGCACATGTCGTCGTAAAACGCCCCCTGCTTAATGACAGGGTTGATGAATGGCATGACCTTGTTAAACTCCCCAGGGAGTTTCAGGTCACGTGGTTACAAACTCCCTATGGAAGCTTTAAAAACTTTCTTTGGGCGTGACGTGCGTGCGTGTGTGTGCGTGTGTGTGTGTATGTACGGGCATGTTTCCACGTCGGTGTGGAACACAGGTGCTTCGTGTGGCTAACCACGTGAGCTTCTGTCAACAGACAACGAAATTATAACTGCAGCGAAGAATTGCAACGGCCGGTTGGTATTTACTGTGAACATTTGAATATATTTCGAACCGTTAAACCACGCTGCACATCGGTCCGATTCCTCAATAAAACGCCTCAAAATCCGCATTTCAAAGGGCCGAGTAACAAAAAACTTTGAAGAATAATTTAATGGTAGCAAAAGTAAGCTGTTACGATCGTCAGCGGCTGCTCCTGGAGTTTCACCGTCAAAACCTTCGAAGCGGTGTGAAGTAGGCTTCACTCGACTACGGCAGCCTGGCCGGCTACCGGTGTAAGAGCTGCGCCGATGACGCGCTCGCCCCGTCTCCGCCGATAGTGGCTGCTCGGAGTGTCACGGGTATTTCACCGGCTGTAACATCTAAGTGGTAAGAAGGCCTCGCTATGCCGTCGGTAGCAAGCCAGCATCGTATCGAGCTCGCACTGCGTACCAGCCGCTGTGCCAAGCGCAATGAGCTAGCACCGACCACCGGCGAGGCGAAGAATGTGTTTCACATAAGATAAAGGCTACTGGGATGAATAACAGTCTTCTGCACCTTGCGACCAGAGCTGTCAAATGAATAACTACAAGGTGAGCGCCGAAAGAGGCGGAGTACGATCGTCAGTGATTGCACCGTAAAACTTCGAAGGGATTCGAAGTAGGCTTCGCTCGACCATGGCAGTATGGCCGGTGACGCGCTCGCCACATCTCCGCCGATTGTGGGTTCTTGGAGTGTCACCGGTATTTCACCGGCTGCAACATCTAAGCGGTAGGAAGGCCTCGCTATGCCATCGTATCAAGCCGACATCGTATCAAGCTAGCACTTCACACCGGCCGCCGGGGTAAGCCCTACGAGCTAGCTAGCAATGACTACCAGTGAGACAATGAATGTGTTTTACAAAAGATAAAGGCTGCTGCGATGAATAACGGACTTCTGCGCCTTGCGACCGCAGCTGTCAAATGGATAACTCGAAGGCGAGCGGAGAACGAGGCGGAGACACACAGAAACAGCTTACAGCATGCATGCATGCATGCCCATGCAATGCATTGGAGCAACGGGAACAGCGACTGCGAACCGTCTCGTTCATTTAAATCTATCGCTCCGTAGCTTAAGTGCCCATCAGCAATCAATTTGTGATCGCCAGCGGTCATTCATTGAATCACCGTGCTGTACTCGTGAGGGAGGCCTAGTCATCGAACGCGGTCGCGGCGGTCTACCTCGGTTCATCGCTAAAGCTGCTGAATATGCCTCGTTAATGTGTTGTTCATTCAAGGCCATGCGGGCTTTGTGTACGATTCAGTGCATTTCACGGATTCACAAACAGTACTGCTAATGCAAATTCCGCCCGTACGACAGAGTGCCAACTAATAAAACGTTTTTGCTATAGTTAAAAATTATTGAATATTAGGCAGCCTTAGGATAAAAGACGTGTGTTGAAGTCCATACATCAGACCATCGCAATATCATACTTGCACCATGCGAGTTTATTGCTTAATTATTAGCAAAAAAGATTTCTTTCCGGGCTACATGGGAAGTCAGAATGTGGTGCCTATATATACCCGGTGACTGACTGGTAGGTGTGCGTTGCGGGTGGCAAGCTGTGGTAAGTGTAAGTGTAGTAATATTACGTGAACACTGTGAGCATGTTCGAGTACTATAATCATTGTTGTGTGCTTCAAAGGTAATGCAATTAAAGCTACGCTTGCGCATGGTACGACTGCTTACGTATTTTTTTTCTCGGTTGATGCAAAAAAACTTCCTCCCATACTGACCTGAAAAAGTTCCCCAATGGATGTAAATAAAAACCCCCCTGACACCGTGCAAAAACCCTCTACTGATGGGGAGTAAATTTTTTACTCCCTCCGGATGGTGTTTATAAAACTCCCATCGGGGCGTGCGCTAAAGGACAAGGTCATTTACTCCCATCTTGGTTTATTTCTGAGAAGCCGCGCATTCGAAGAAAATTGCTCATGGTCACGAGGCGTGGTAGTTTCGTTAAGCAGCCCCCCCCCCCCCCCCCTGCTTAGCTTCCAGCGCTCTCGTCAGAACGACAGAAGAGATAATGCAATTGAAGCATGCGACGAACCTTTGTAACTCCACTCGCACTGGACAGATTTTTAAAATTTTTGCCGCGTTGAATTCGTGAAGCAATAAGCTCTTCTAGTGAATTCATTCTATGGTTGCTTAAAGAAAGTGTTTCAGGGCCTCATAAACGCATTTTTTTCGACATGCGTCACGACAAAAACGACCCCATTCGGCGATAATAGCGTGCGCTGGTCCAATATACAGGGTTAGTGTTTGTGTGCGTGCGTGTGTATGTAACAAAACATACTATTAAGTATGCACTTAGTGGTTGAAGGGTGTAATAAGAGCCGGATGTTACTATCGCATTCAAATCTTAAAGGCGAAGCTTAAGGGCCCGCAATATTTGCATTGACACAGTACCTTTTCCTAACCAAAGTTTTTTAACGCTTTTGGACAGTTCAGGCTGTGACGGTGCTGCTTTACCGCCAAATATCTGAAATAACTTGGCCAGATATCTGATGTACATTTTTTTATGAAGCACAAATGGCTGGGAGAGCTGGCTATTCGTCTTTACTATGTGAACGAAAAACGTTTGAAGTCCAAAAGGAAGATACCTGGACACTGCGCACAATGAAAAGTTGGTACATGGAGTAGAGCTCAGATAACTAGTAATATACATGAGAAGCACGAACTGCTGGGTGAGTTGATACTTTCATTTTTTTTCGCTCACTCAGTTAAGTTGTTTAAGAGAGTTGCTTTAAAGTAATGCCACTTGAATATTCTCATTGCAACAGATACATGGAAAAGAAATTTTAGGTTCTTTAAAACTGCAAACTAGTGCCGCTACTAAACTAGCGCCCCTTTTTGGGAAATTCAAAATATACGTTAATGATTAAGCAACCATTCCCTTTTCTCTCACAATTTTTTTATTTTCTCTTTTTTTCACATATTCCTGAAGCAGCGTCCTTAGGCACTCGAGTTCAGGAAATCTTTAGATATGCACACATTTTTGTTCTTTTCAGATCATTATTTGAACAGGTTCACCTACCTGCTGCGTAAAGCCATCAGACATGCAGGCGAGGGCTTTGTAGCAAGACATGATACGGCACGGCAACAGCGCCAGCAGAAAAATGGCACGAGAAGCCGCGACTTCAGTACGGTAACTTGTACAAAGCCCCGGCAAAGCTCTAACAGTGTAACAAAGTTTTTGTTTATTCTGTAGACCACGCAGATGTAGGTACTGCAGACCCTTCATAACCGTCTATGAAGATGTGGGCAGATGTAGTGTGCAAGTCTGCTACTGTTACCTTACACCACGATACAGTGATAGCAGTGACACCCAAGGTGTCACTGCACAGATGCAAACACTGCTCCTGGATATCCTCCAGTGTAGAACACTGCAGGGACAAACAGAAAGGCTTCGACCGCCAGTAATCATGCGCAAGTAAAAAGGCACCCTGTGGGAGCTCCTGTTTTTTGGTGGTGCGTGGATGTACTACAAAGGTATAAAGCCTGCTCGAACAGCTGTGCAACTTCCCCCGTGAAGTCCACCTTCTGATATCAGACCCACGCTCAGTGTCCACCTTCTGACTGCAGACCCACGTGTACGTCGATCCCTAGACATCCTGTTTCAACGTTTCTGCACTGTTGCTGCGCTGTGCTGTCACTCATGAAAGGTCTCCTCTCCACAATACTTATACAACGTTCAATTTTGCTTCTATTCGTACATGTAAAAAGCAAATATCACCACACAAATACCACTAATAACGCTATAGCGTTTGAATCTTGAATAAGAAGTTACATTTCTTCATTTCATTTTATTTACTTCAGCTAAACGTGTTCATCTGCACTGTTGTAGTAGCTGACTGGCGATGGCTTCGCACAGGTGAGCTCCTTGGTCACACACGAGCCATGCATGAAGACAATCCACCACGATGACCTTGATTGTCCCGTCGCAGCCCTGAGAAACATAAATAGCACAGATAGCATCAAGAATCTTACACAGAGCTAAGCGGCGATTTGAACAATTCAGGTTGTACGTGTATCTGCTAGATATTATGTATTCCAATGTGCGACCATATTTGCTGGCATCTCTGGCATCTCACCAGGTTTGTAACGAAAAATACAAAGGGTCAATTCAGATAGTTGCAGCTATGCAGCTACTGTATCTGATCTACTTACTGTTCACGCCGTAGTTACGTCGTAGCTTAGCGAAAGAGCTCCGGACGCGTTAGTTGAAGGTTGCACGTTATGTTTCTGCCGACCGCAGTGGATCTTTTCGTCCCTTTTTTTTTCCATCACATTTATATTAAAAGTACTCTTAATAAAAATCCTATATTTTTCTTGGCATGAAAGTGTGTAAGCCCTCATTAACACAATGTGTGATACAGAGACGAAGCCATTCTATTTACTGTAGGCACTGTTGTAACTCCACTTGCTACCCATAATAATTCTATTTCACGGCTCTTTTGTGACGTAATGAAAGCAAAGTGAATAAAAGTACTGTTTCATTTAAAGGGCCATTCACCAGGCCCCAAACCAAATTTTAGTTAGACAGTGAAAGTTGTTGGGTGTCTGATGAGGAACATTTCGCCAAAAACTTTTTTTGATTTGGTTCTTTACGAGCAGAGAAAACGGGTTTTTTGAAGCGGCGCAAACCCAGGATGAGAGGAGGCAAGCTGGAAACCCTTGCCACACCTTCGCGAGTCAAATCTCTTCCCCACCCTCTCAGACATCCAACCAAGTGGTCACCAGCGCATGACGTGCCCAAAGAAATCCAACCCCGGAGCACGCGAGTGGCGTCGCTTTGTTGACCAGCGTTATTTTGTGGTCTTCTGTCTGTTTCTGCAGGATGGTTTGGAAGCGCTGACTTAGACGTGGTAGAATAGATGAGAACAATGAGTGCACGAACGCGTAGGAGCGTTCCACGACGGTCGTCTGATTGATGTGCTGACCATGGGTAGACGAACGCATGCGAAATGCCGACACATTAGCCCCACATCTCGTTGTACTTCACATGAGATAAATAAGAAAAAAGATGCTCACATTCCCTTATTGAGACTCATTATTTGTCTAGAGCTTTATTAGTCTCTTCAAGCAACAAATTACATAAACTATGCACGCCATGTTAATTAATTTTCGCCATGTCACGTGCCACTGTTTGCAACATCAGGGCAGGGTCGTCCACGTAGAGGATCAACGTCACTATATTGCCGTGTACATAAAGCCATTCATACGCGCACGTCATGCCCTCAATCTCTGGGCGCGCGCCGGAAGGAAAGAGGAGCAGCGTTCATCTCTAAATATGACCCGTTTCCGCGGCGCGTAGCGTTGAAAACTTTGGAAGACGTAATCGTGAACGCCTCGTCCTCGCATTGCGCTTGTCAGCTCAAAATTGTCAAGCCAGGTCAGTGGCCCTTCAAAGAAACTTGACCCCATTAAAGCTGCAAAGTAAGTAGCTATTGCTTGCACACATATAGAGCTTAGCTTCATTATGTGATCACAGTACACCTCAAAATGTAACAAAGCTAAACAACAAAATTAAAAGGAGAACATTTAAAAGCACACTTAAACGTCACTAAATTGTCATAAAACCAAATATATTTTTTTAGTCGATGTTTCAGCCACAATGGCTCGCATATGGAATACTACGGGCGCAGCTTGCAAATATGGATCGCTATACCTTGCACGTCACCAGCCTACAGGTCGCCAACATACAGTGCTTGCATCCCTGATAACCAGTATGCACCATGAAGCAACAAGAATAACGAATATGTAAACAGCTGAGCTCAAACTGAAAGCATATAACGTGCTATTAGAAACTCGCTACCACAGATAACGCATGAAACCAGTTCGTCCACTGGTTATGAGTGGGCCTGCCGAAGTTGAACCTATATTAACACAGCGCATGGCTAAGCGGACAAAAGAAGAACAAACGACAGCGCTGACTCGCAACTGAAGTTTTATTGAAAAAATATGAACGGAAAAGGTAAAATTCTACCTTCAAACACGTCTGACGACTCTAAGGCAAAAAAAGCAGGATAGCTGACATCTTGAACATTGAGAAATTCTTTGTAGACACCACGTGCACTCTCCAACAGTTCTACTAAAGTGTTGGAGATTGCCCCATTTCTGCGTCACATTCTATAAACTGATGGAGTGCATGATTTGTGTAAGCCTTGCTTTATTTTTGTAGCACATAACTGCAAACATCTCTGTGCACAAATCACCTTGTTTTTAACGTCATACAAACAGTGTTTTACTAAATGAACACCAGGCCAGATCGCAACAACAGCACTGCAACATCATAAGCTAGAAGAGGGGAGTTTACAGAGCCTGTAGTAAACTATCTACGGGCTACTACTTCATAGCACCATACTTAACCGCAAAGAGCTTGCCCATGCATGACCGTGCGCGAAATCTCACCACCGCGGTGGCATGGAGGTTTTATTGGGCAGGGTGAAACCAGCTTGATGATCCACTCCTTAATTTCAGTGAAATAACCTCCCACTCTCGGCTTAGTAGAAGGGCCTATCATCTTCCTCACCCGAACTTATATAGACCTCAGTCAGTCACACTTGGTATACTCCCGATAGGCACATTCTCTTCACATGATTTCTCAGTCGTACCCCAACAGAGCTGTGTGGAGTGCAATAAAACTTATTGTTCCTTAGCGCACATGCTTTGACAATGCCCCACATTTCTTAATGGCCCTCTTAAACAGTGAAGCCGACTGGGAAGAGACACTCCGGAGCTCATCGCTCCATACGAACTCCAGGCAATCCAGAGACCCAAGAAAGAGAGAAACACCGCGTTGTTCTAGCCCCAAATTGGACGCGAGCTACGATTTTTGCGGGTCCCCGACAAGGTTCCACGCGAGAACTCGTCAGGACTTGATATAGTAAAGTTCACCGTCTGCCTGTCAAGACAGTAGCAAGGTATTCGCGAGGCATAATATTTTACAGCGAAGGCTGTTATGAGATCACAGCAAGTGTCACGTGCACCGTAGTTGTGCGGCGCCGGTATTCGTGGCCACTATCGAGTGAAATGAGAAAACAGTAAGGGAATAGACAAACACAAGAAAACACGGGTATTTGAACCCGGGCTGCCTGCATGCCAGTTGAGTATTCTACCACAGAGCCACGCCTGTGCTTCAAAGCAAACTGCCCTTAGGCAGGCTTGATGTCGGGATAGGAATCGCGTTCATATAAGTAATAAAGCGTTTTACAACAATGAAGGAACAACCAGGCGTAACAAAACGTGCATTGTGTAATTCACCTATTTACTGTGACGCGCATCCACTGTGTGTGTGTGAGGGGGGTGATGGGCTAAGGAATCAGTGGTTTTATAAAATAATATAAAGCTGTAGAATAACGGAGGTCTTATAATAGAACAATTACAGACTACACAGTAAATTACGTTGCTCGTTATATTAAAACAAAACAAAAAAATTTTGCTCGTATCTGCATTTATTCTGCAAAGGTCGTCAAAATATGATAGTCTTGCATGCGGAGAGAGCAAACAATTTATTTGATGTTCTGCGCAAGAAAGTCGGAGAAAGGTATTTGTGGGTGCTGCGTTAGAGTGTCTCGAACGTGCAGCGCAGGCGAACGAGCGCATCAAGTCACGTCACTCGTGAGACATGAGCGCCACTTGGCAGTGTTCTTGGAAAACGAAGCACGTGGCTCTGAGGCGGGTGTGCGCGCCCGTCTCAGAGGTGATAAGGTGTGGAACGCAAGGCGACGGGTAGGTGCCACTACCATCGCGTGTTAACAAAGCGTTGGAAACACTCACCTTTTCTTTGAAGCGTTGCATGGTCAGCGCAGCGTGATAAGCGCTACGGTCCTTAAAATTACGTATGTATGCCTTTTCTAGTAAAATATGCTCATGCAGAATGCATACTTGTCGTTAAGGTGCCCCAGACTCGCACAATAATTACCTATTAATTGACAATCGCACAAGTAAGAACGCCAAGTCTTGAGCAACATTGGTGGGCGCTCCGGATGGGGTAAGCCGTTTTAAACACCCCGTGCCGTTAAGAGTCGACAAACAGACAAGTATACGCAGACAAACAGACAAACAGACAGACAGACAGACAGACGGACATACAAAAATTTCGCGTGGAAGGTTTCCAAAAAAGACTATCATCTTTGAAAATCTCCAGGTCAAATTTTCTATTGCTATCAGCCACAGCATCAAAAAAATTGCTCGAAATCTTTCGCGCGTGTGTAGCATCTTTCAGCAGCGGCTTCTGTGAGGAATCACTAAGGACAGCATAGTGAATAGCTTCATTATCATCAACAACAACAACATCATCAGAAACATCATCATCATCATGAGCCTGACTGCATCCACTGCAGGACAAAGGCCTCTCCCTTGTTCCGCTAGTTAACCCGGTCCTGTGCTTGCTGCTGCCAATTTATAGCCAAAAACTTCTTAATCTCATCTGCCCACCTAACTTTCTGTCTCCCCCTAACCCGCTTTTATTCTCTGGGAATCCAGTTAGTTACCCTTAGTGACCAGCGGTTATCCTTTCTACGCGCTACATGCCCAGCCTATGTCCATTTCCTCTTCTTGATTTTAATTATGATATCCTTAACCCCCGTTCGTTTCCTTATCCACTCTGCTCTCTTCTTGTCTCTAAAGGTTACACCAACCACTTTTCTTTCCATTGCTTGCTGTGTCGTCCTCAATTTAAGCTCAACACTCTTTCTATGTGTCCAGGTTTCTGCTCCATAGCTGAGTACCGGCAAGATGCAGCTGGTATATACCTTCCTCTTGAGGAATTGTGGCAATCTACCTGTCATAATTTGGGAGTGCTTGCCAAATGTACTCCACCCCATTCTTATTCTTCTAGTTACTTTAATCTCGTGGTTCGGCTTCGCGGTTATTACCTGCCCTAAGTAGACATAGTCTTTTACAATTTATTGTGCACTATTACCTATCTCGAAGTGCGGCACTTTTTCGAGGTTTTTGTACATTACTTTCGTTTTCTGCAGATTAATTTTCAGACCCACCTTTCTAGTCTGCTTGTCTAACTCCGTAATCATGAGTTGCAATTCATCCCTTGAGTTACTCAGCAATGCAATGTCACCGGCGAAGCGCAGGTTACTAAGGTACTCTCTATTAACTCTTATCCCTAACTGTTCTCATTCTAGGCTTCTGAAAACCTCCTGTAAGCACGCGGTAAATAAAATTGGGGAGATTGTGTCGCCCTGCCTTACACCCTTCTTGATTGGTATTCTGTTGCTTTCTTTATGAAGCACTATGATAGCATTTGATACCCTGTAGATTTCTTCCAGGACGTTTATATATACTTCATCGACGCCCTGATTCCGCAGTGTCTGCATGATGGCTGATATTTCTACTGAATCAAACGCCTTCTCGTAATCTATGAAGGCTATGTACAGTGGTTGGGTATATTCTGAGCATTTCTCTATTACCTGATTGATAGTATGAATGTGGTCGATTGTTCAGTAGCCTGTTCGAAATACTGCTTGTTCCTTTGGTTGATTAAATTCTAATGTTTTCTTTACTCTGTTAGCAATTACCTTTGTAAATAGCTTGTATACTACAGAGAGCAAGCTGATCGGCCTGTAATTCTTCAAATTTTTGTCATCTCCTTTCTATTGTATTAAGATGATGCTAGCGTTCTTCCAAGACTCTCATAATCTTCCCGTCAGGAGACACCTCGTAAACAGGGTGGCTAGTTTTTATAGCACAATCCGTCCTCCATCTTTCAGCAGATCTGATGTTACCTGATCCTCAACAGTAGCTTTGCCTCTTTGCATGCTCTCCAAAGCTTTTCTGACTTCTCCTGACATTACTGGTGGGGTGCCTTCTGGGTTACTGCTAGTTCGTGGTTGTCCCGGCTACTGTACAGATCTCCGTAAAACTCCTCCGCTATTTTAACTATCCTATCCATAGTGGTGGTTATTTTGCCTTCTTTGTCCCTTTGTGCATACATCCGATTTTCGCCTATCCCAAGTTTTCTCTTCACTGCTTTGACGCTTGCTGAATATCTTATAATCAGCCAATCCTCCCCTTTGGGTACAAACTGTGGGCAGAGAAAAACAACAACAACAACAACAACAACAACAACAACAACAACAACAACAACAACAACAACAACAACAACAACAACAACAACAACAACAACAACAACAACAACAACAACAACAACAACAACAACAACAGCAACAACAAACAACAACAACAACAAACAACAATAACAACAACAACCACAACAACAACAACAACAACAACAGCAACGCCTGCCAACTACGCAAAAACTATAATATATGGCGTCGTGCATATTCTGCAAATATGCTTGAAGCAGTTATTCAAAGAATGTTTAAATAATGCTCTGAACGGCCACTCCTGCTGCTTTCGTGGTGACTGTGTGGCGCGTTCTGCGCAGGCCTGGCCGTTTTTGCGATGTCTGGAAGGCTACATCCATATTCATCACCCGACTCACACGTGCGGTGCCCACCCCTTATCTGTAAGACTTTAGTCATAGTTGGTTAATGTTGTAGCTAGTGAAATTGGAGAATTGAACTCTGAATTCGGTGGGCAGCAACAAGCTACACACATTTTACAGAATTTGCATGCTGTGACGCCATGATCCTAATTTTACTCTTCTACATATTGAAACGATATCTATTATTGCTAATATTTATCTTTATATCCGTTCGTCTTCATGCACATTAGGATAGCACCACATAATTGTAAGAGCACTGCGAAAAATTTAACGACACACTTATATATGAAACAATGATGTTCGTGTGGTGTTAGAAAGTTTTTCAACTGAGCTGCACATAGGGTGTGACGGTGACGATGCTCACCTTTTTTTCCATGAGCCGCGCTAGATTTCCCGCGCGAAGATGAAGCATCTCTGTGACATTCATCAATCTGTCGAATCCGAGCGATGGTGAGTTGCCGAATTTCTTGCGTGGACAAGGTGACGTCACAGTCCTGTTCTAAGGTCTGCTTCACGTCGACGCTCATAAGGGAGTCAATGCCCAGCTCACCGAGACTGATGTCTGGACTAAGTCTGGATGCGTCCTGGACGCCTTTGAGAACATGCACGCCGACAAAGACAAAATGGCTTCAAAATAATGAAATACAGGTGAATTTTCAACTCAAGTGCGACGTGACAGAAATTTGACAAAAGTGAACCATCACCATCATAATCGAACTGACTGCACCCCACTGCAGAGCAGAAACCTCCCACATGTTCTGCTGAATAAGATTGTCGTGCACTTGCTTCAGCCACGTTATACCTGCCAACTTCTTAATCTAAACTAGTCACTTAACTTCCTGCCTCCTCCTCGCATATTTGCCTTCTTTTGGACGAGTCTGTTGCTATTATTACCCACCTGTGTCTTTCCGGCGTTCTACATACCCTGCCCATTTCTTGTTCATTGCGATTAAGCTGCCCTTCAACACCATCTGTTACCTTTTCTATGCTGGGCTCTTTTTAAAAGCATATACAAACATGCAATGTCATATGGAAAAACCAAAGTAATGGCTTACACCCTCGGAAGACAATAGCCATTTGGGATAAATTGGCAATCCCAAGAGCGTGTAAAGAAATACATCTTTTAACATTATATTTCACTTCAACGATGTGCAGTGTTTTCATGGTAATCGTATTTATTGATACTGATGGTTGGTTTTCTCTATTTATTTACTGCATATATTATGTCTATCGTGTGCTTCTGGCTGACAGCTGTGAAGCTGCTGAGTGTATGAGTCTACCTGGTGATCCTCCACCTACTCATTGCTGCTTTTTTGCCTGGTAGTCCTCACCGCCTTGTTCTTTAAAAACTCATTGCAGTCTACCTAGAGAAATGAGTGGCCTTAAATCCAAACCAAGTGACTGAAGTGCCTAGAATATAAGAAGCAGGTGGAGTGCTTTTGACAGCTATTTTGGTCCTTATTATAGCTCGTTTACGAGTATAGACAAGAAACAAATACGCAGCCACTGCATCTAACCACCATTTCTTTACACAGTAGACTGGGATGCTTGCGAAAATGTGTGAACTCACTAAATTGGCGAAACGTGGTGACCATTGGAATTGCAATTGATAGGTGTAGCTTTCAGGGACGAAAAGAGAGCAAAGTTGTTTTGATGTCTTTCATTGCGCACTAATTAGAGGTTTTTAAGCGGCTAGGTTGTCGACAAATGAAACTAGACGTTACCAGATAATAGCTCAGCAACATTACTTCGAGATGGCATTAGGCATGTTTTGCAATACTAAAAATACTGACGATAAACTGCGACAAGTGACTGAAGATCTCAACAGGCAAGTAGGAAAGTAGGGCTGATAATATACAAGCAAAATATTGAGAAAATTCTGCGCAGCTTGGAGGAAAAACATGAATGTATTACTAGCAATCAGCCTTCATTATCTGTGCAAAAGAGTCAGCGTATGTCTAAATCAATAGCAGAATAGTACAAGCATGCAATATTAATTCATCGAAGAAAACGGATGGGCAGGAGCAGGCGTGGTAGGCATTCATGAAGGGTGACAGAAAATTTTTCGCCTCTCCTAAAGCGACAAGCAAACAGGAAGGGCACTTTCTGCCCTACGTATATTTGTATTCACTAGGATAAAAAGTTCTCTTGTGAAGTCATTCACTGCAGAAACGTGTCGCTTGAGTCTTTCTCGTTTGTATTTCTTGAAATTTGTTCGTACTTACCAAGTATACGAGCCACAGATTCAATGAGGCTGTGTTTTTCCTTGTCGCCAGGTTTTCGGGACAGATCGGCCTTTACATAACTTGAAACCACGGGGTGACCCTGGCTCAAAAACTGGTCCATTACTGCCATGCATGACCTAATTTTCTGAGGCGCAAGGCCAAGCAGGAACGTTTGTTGTCCCATCATTTCGCCGATCAGTCCAACGCCACCAATTGTTCCCCATTGAATAGCCAACCCTGCACCAAAAAAAAAAAACAATTAGGTGTTTGGATGTGTTTTATGCAGTCTCTACCAAATGAAGCACGCACTGATAAGGAATGTCTTAGCGTACTTAACAACAAAAACGACTAAGGATAAATCACCTACTTTATATATTCAGCTGGTCACTAATTTCTGAGCGATGCACAGATGCATACGTGTACGTTTCTTCCAAATCGTCGTTGAAAACAGGTGTTTCTAAGGGCACAGGTTACGGCTCTATACACTTACCCTGTACCGTAACAAACTGCAAACTAAGACTTCTTGATGCTCAAGCTACCTTCAAATCATTGCAAAACAGCTGCTTAGATGCAAAATTAATTGTAAAAATTAATCATCCTGAACTCTGAGTGATGTAATCGAGTTGATGGTGAGCTACTGTTGTCCGTGAATGTCAAAACATCAATTTTTTTTTCTCTCGCAAGCAGTCTCACTTTACTCACGAATTCGTAATTTCAGGCAGAGTTATGTCCTGTGATAGAGCATAGAAGTGCCTAGTAATAATTGAAACTTTTTGTATATTGTACTTGACACAGAACGACAATGTAAAAATGCTGGTAATTTAACACGACTAGCGCACTCTTTGTCATACTACATTGCTTGGTCAAATACCAGTAGGCTGGTTCGATGACGAATTTGAGTCAATATAACCCAAATATGGTGCATGGTTGGGGCATGAAGTTCAACGCACACGTGCAAGTATATATGCCTTTGGACCGGCCGAATTGTGAATGCAGGTTTGACCATATTTGTTTATTTTGTCTGCTTTGCCTTTCATAACTTTTCCTTCCCATACAGGATTCCGCAGACTGATTTGGCAATTTCATGTGTATATGATGTTAATGACAAATACGTAATGATTGCACCTTACAAAAAAGTCTTTTCGAAAGAGTAACTTTGACATTTATAAACTTGCCAATATGCTTGGGCTTCTACGAAAAGCAGCGGCACATGAATAACTGCATCCACAACTGCCAATTCGGCCAATTCGTCAGTCTTGAGGTCGCCGGCGCCTGACAAAATGAGTTCTCTTGATTACTCTGTCTTCCGTCCAAACGGTCAACATTATTCCGGCAAAATGAACCACTAAAATGTTTTTTATTTAATATACCGCTCAAACGCCTGGATATCAAATGTGGAATAACATCCACATCATGCTCTCTAATAACAATGACTCTACAAATGTGGTTGGCAATATCTAAACTAAATTATTTATATGACCTACTCTGGGCAACTTTTCATCATTCCCCTAGAAATTAGGCTGCCTATGTGGCTTTACTTTCACAAAAAGATTTCGCCACCAATATTGTTTTAGGTCTCACTGGTCACACTGCTCTGGTAAAATGGTTGGACTGCACAGAGGTGTGCGTACTTTTTGAACGTGAGATGTTCGTTGACCTTATGGCAAGTTGAATTGATATTCCTCACCGGGAAGTCCATCAGCGACACGGCACTCGCAGATTCTCTCCATGACGGAGTTGGCGTAGCCGTAGTTTGTCTGGCCGGCGTTGCCGCGTCCACACGACGTGGATGAGAACACCACGAAATGGTCGAGCTCTCTGCAAAGCTGTCGCGACAACTGGTCGAGCAGCTGCGTGCCGGCTACCTTGGGCTTGCACGCTGCTTCGAATGTCTCAGCCGTCTGGTTTTCAATGAGGGCGTCGTGAAGAACCTGTACGCAAGCGATGAATATTTTTCGTTGATTCACTTGTTGACCTATGACTTTAAAGCGTCGAGGAAGAAATATTTAAAAGATTAAGCTCCCATTACAACGGAAGTTTACAGGAGTCCAAATAACGTCACATAAAATACCAAAATAACATGCTTCGATCGAGACATTTCAGAGGGCGAAGCCTTGTGACACAAAGCCGCAATCACGATACAAAAAAGAAACAAAAACTGTACCGGCCGAGCCAACGCCACCTAGAAAAGTAATTCAGGCCTGCTCACTACTCCGGGCACGGCATGTGACGTCACCAGTTTCGACGCTTATCTCCAGCCCAGTGGATGTGCGCATGCATGCTCCCATCTTTCGAGATAGCAGGATTGCCAAGCCTGACGAAGTCTATTGTAGGGTGCTGGTGTTTCTTCAGGTGACTGCACGAAGATGACCGTGGTCTTCAGCGTCTTTGAAGTGCCGCGTGGTGAAATTATGGGTTACGTTTACGGAATGTTTGCGTAGTGTACACACCTCCAAGCTATCACACAGGGATAGTGCTGCGGGCTCAACTGTAGTTGATATTGACAATGTGCTTCAAGTGTTTTTGTTCTCATAGGATGAGCGAAAAACGAAATGAGAGCCTGCCATTCCTCAGGATGCCTTACTTCTCTTCGTGATTCAAACGTGTGTGTGTTTCTATACAATTTTCTTTTGAGTTGATTTAAAAGCACCCTATTTAGCTCGTTCGCCTATTTCTTTAAAATGTTGTCATCTGCGTTTCTGACTTGCTTGCGAAGCCTTGGCCTTCGACACCATTAGCAGAGTGTCACTGGTGCTCACTCCCGTGATAGCTTATCGTCCCGAGAGAGTGCTAAAGTAGCTGCCTAGATTTCGCGTTTTGTGCTAGTGCATTTGCCGAGACGTGGTTGACTTGGCTGCAAGAACAACAGCGCAACGAAGCAGGCATCTTCACGCCCCGCTTAACCGACTTCACAAGCGGAGCGAAAGAGTGTTTCAAGTTTCTCTGTTTCTAAACCAAACACACCAAAATGAAGCTATAAATGCGCGTCGCGATATATTCTCAGGATGGTCGTTTTTCTTTGAGGGTCGGTAAACGTCTCGCTGTTTGCTCATAGCACCACCTGCTTATTACAACACCTCCAATCAACTAACTTAGAAAAGGGTAAGAGAGCTGGTCCGTGATGTCGTGCATCTTTTATGCACTACGTAATATTTTCACCGCTGCTTAGAGCATTCTCTTTCGTGGTATTATAATCGTGGGTCAGTTTAGGCAGCCCATTGGTCATTTTTTAATGACCAATGGGCTGCCTTGAACCAAATTTGGGTGCCAGTGCACACCTCAAATATTTCTTTGTTCTGTTGCTTCTTAGTAAGGGGTATCTTGAGTGCGAAGCGTAAGATATATCGTTTTATGAAATATTTCTCAGAGGCATGAGCACCATTTCAAACCGAACAAATACGTAACAATGACTACCAAGAACACCGGTCTAAAAACAGGCACAACAGGTCAAAACACACTCACTTTACAGAGAAAACTGTGGAAAGTTTTGATAATTAACAGATTCACTTGGTGAATCTTCTGGATGGTGCCGTGTGTCTGTGTGTGTGTATATAGATGAAAAATGATCAATTAATTTTACCTTATTGATTTTGTATGTTTGTTGACATTTCGTAAGTTTTATATAAGTTGGTTAAACTTCTGAGAGCACACAATATTCTTTAAAGTTTAGGTGGGGCAACAAATCATTGAAAATAAATTACCAAAAATTAAAGAGTAATATATTCTTCAAACAAGTGGCAGTCCAGACAAAAAAGTTTTAACGAAGCTTCTGTAGATGCAAAACTCGCCACGATCGTTTTATCTTTTCACGGTAGACGATGGTGGCAGTGGCTTTACAGCCTCCCACGCACTCTCATTCGGCCATGGCTTCTGACGTTATGGCGGCAGTCAGCAGGCCTGAAATCTTGGTGGCATTAGCCAAGTGCAGCAGAACGTGCTCCCCGCCCGCGCTTCGTGACTGCGGCGGACCGCGAGCAACGCGCGCGACTGGTTTACTCAGAAACAGCAGCGGCAGCAATTCGCTTTTCTGCCGCAACACACCGCCACTATTTGGATCTCCCGCAGTGTGACATTATCTGACTATCTCAAAGAATGGAGCTGAGAAACATTTCATAAAACAATTGATCTCACGCTTGGCACTCCAGATACCTTTTATGAGAAGCAACAGAACAGAAAAATCTTTGAAACGTGTACAGGAGCCCTAATTTGGCTCAAGGACTGTTACCTAGTCTAGAGAAAATGTTATGCTACCTTGCAATATAAAAATAAATGGGTGAGTTTTAAAAGTTGAGATAGAGACAAAGGTATAGATAGAGAGAGAGAGAGAGCAGGCACACGTGGTCACACAACTCACAGGTCTGTGATAGCGTGTGCGTGATCACGCCATTGGCCTATAACCACCGGTGAAAGTCTTATGTGTTGAAGAAATCAGCTCCGCTTTCGTCGCCCCGTGACAAATTCTAATAACGACATTGCAATATTGTGTCTGCCGTCGTCGGTTTCTGATCTATGCGTGCTATGGCGACTGTGTGTGATATCACATTCTCATTGCGGCAAGGACAGCGTCATGCCTCCTGATCGCTTCGTGGTTTTGGGACGCCAAACTCCAGCAACAACGATTATTTTGAAATCTCAGCCGAATGACCTATGCCGAGAAAATCACTCACCATTGCCAGATTGAAGATGCCGCCTACGGGTCCCATAGAGGTGGCTTCCTCGATGACCATCCGAGCTCCTCCTTCAGACGCGACGTCTGAATTTCTGGCCAGCACCTGGACGCCAAGAGCACGCCAACGGTGCAAGCACAGCTTCTGGTAACCAGTTCTCAACCCCGAGCGGGAGGTGAGCAGCAATTTGCGGCATCCACGAGTAACCATCCAGTCTGCAAGCTCCAGACCGAAGCCACCAAGCCCTCCGACGATCACGTACGACTTGTGCTCGTAGAAGTAAGTGCGCGCGGTGGCCTCTACAAGGAGCGGTACAGTGGGGCCGGCATGGTGGTGCACTTCCTCGGGTCGGATCTGGTGTCACAGATTTGTAAATTTTGTCAGAAGGATCGCTGGGATAATCAATACGTTGGTTTCATAGCACAGCCGCGAGGCATTCATGAGTGCCTTCAAAGCAAACCATTAAAAAATCTTGGCTTGTCTAAAACGCCTATGGCTGCAGACACTGTAGCTAACAGCGACCTTCATGATGAAATTTTATTTGAAGTGTAAGTGGCTGCGTTCGTTGCAAACAGCTCGCAAATATTGCTCTCTCTCTCTCTCTCTCTCTCTCTCTCTAATATAATATATATATATATTATAGGCAAAAGGCAAATAAGATTTTACACTTTAACGTGATCATAGTGTGTGAGTAATTGTGGTGAGCAAATGTGCGCTTGTGTACTTTTTAATGAACAATCGCCATTGATTTTGTCGCAAGATATAGTGGATATCAGCAAGCTTAAACGGAGCTTCAATGAATGGAATGACATTGCTAAACAAAGCTCCGCGTTGTAATCATTCGTTTAGGATTTGCTTTTTGTTTGTAATTGCTAGACCGAAGCGTACTCTTTGTGGCTAGCATCGTTCAAGCGAGACAGTAAGATTTTTTTGAAAAAAAAAATTCGGCATATTGCACATACCTTCGGTTTGACCGTGCTGTTTTTTTAGTGACACGTCGTTATGAAATGACACTAAATATATGAACATATGTTGCACGCCCAGACATATCTTGAACAGTTAAGAATTTTTATATAGCCAGTTCCTTGCACTTGCGCAACAATGCATGGGTACTAGCCACACCAGAAGCGATAAGCTGATATAAAGTGCTAGTGCTCGCGAATATGGTAGAACACCACATGTAGCCCTGGACGCTGCTACATAAAGCAGCTTCAGTGGATGGCACCAAACTGCAATTGGCGTTAACTCGACGTCACGGCTGCATCACAGAAGTACACATATGTAATATTTATAAAATAGGATCGCCCACACTGCAAACACAATAGATGTTTTATGAACATTTGGGTCCATTTTAAAAGTAGGTCCGAGACTTGGTGTGGCTCTGTAGTAGAATAATTGACTGTCACGTAATATGCTGGGATTCGATTCCTGCTGGGATCCTGACATTTTTAAATGCGGAGCATTTCTTAGTGAACTTTGGCGACTTTGAGCGTGTCTATCTATTTATCTATCTTTCTAGCCACTTACGTTAGGCGACTTTCGTGGTGACCCCCTTGACTTGGCGTGAACCAAAATAAGCATGGAAAGTTGAGATGATTTGACGAATATGACGCGCTGGTCAAGACATGAATAATGTGCCATTCCCGTGGCGTGCGTCGTCAAACACTTCCCACCAGACAGTGGCGCATACCCAAGGGGGGGAGGGTATGCGCCACTGGTATGCGGGTATGTGCCACAGTTGATAGACACTTAGCATATACCCAGGAACGACAAGAACACACATTGGCAATTTTAACGCGTCGCGTTATGCACACCCGATGTCAGTAGAGTCAACCCAACAAATGCATATAATAAATGTCAGTGTTCAGAAAAACTTGACATAGGCAGTGCTGACCCATTAACAAATGCAAATAATAAATTTCTGTGTCCCAGCAGGAATCGAACCCAAGCATTCTGAGTGGCAGTCAAGCATTCTGGCACAGAGCTACGCCAGGTCTCGGAACATCCTTTCAAATAGACGCTAATCTTCGTGAAATTTTTATAGTGCTTCACGCTCACCTTCCAACCGCATGCTTAGCATAACGTCGATTCCGAAATACGTGGGATCTGCCAAATTTTATTATTTGTAGTCATTGAAGCAACGCTGCTGATGTAAGCTTTTTCTTAACGTTCACGCGTTACAATTACTAATCTGCGTTCCCTCTATTCCTGGGTGCATAATAACTGCTCCCTCCGTTCCTGGCATATGCCCGCGCACCCGTGGCGCATACCCATTATTGAATATGTGCCACTGTCTGGCCGAAAGGTTTTAAAGACATGCGTGACAGTATTTTTACATTGTTTCTGTCTCGACCAGCGCGTCATAATCGTCAAACCATCTTACCCTCGCATACTAATTTTCGTTCACGCCAACTTGAGGGGGTTATATATAGATAGATAATTAGATAAATAGACAGATGATAAATGAATAAATAGATAGATAATAGATAGATAGATGATAGATGGATGACAGATAGATAGATGATAGATGGATGATAGATAGATAGATAATAGATAGATAGATAGACGTCAAAAGTGCTTGGAGTGCGCAGAGAAATAACTCGCATCTAAAATATGAAAGTTAGGCTGGCGAGCGTTACAGTGCATTTGCAGGCTCCGACACTGACCTTAAAACGCATGCTTGAGAGGACCTGCAGGGATGGGTCAGTACTCAATGACTATCTCCATAGGATTCACATTGCATGAAGGACTGCGAGTATGCCATACTCCCTTTCATTCACTGGGGCAAAGTTACTTGGTTTCGTAATGCATGAATAGCAAAGGCGATATATCAACGTTACTGGCATTGCCCTTCACTTCTATCCCATGCTGTAACTTGCTCGAGAAAAGTAGACCAAAATTTAAAATTGCAAATGATTTCGTTTCAGAATAAGCTGCAGGCTAGCTTTTTTTAGAAAAACTAATACTGCGTTAAACAGCCTATAATAAAGACCTCAAAGTATAAAAAAATCATACCACCGAACAAATAATTATAACCCAAGCTCTACATAACGATGTGGCGCAGGTGTATAGCATTTATGCTTCGCTCCACATGAGTGATTAATCCGAGGTTTGGAGGGCAGCAGTTGTATAACACTGCCAATATTCGACAATCGCCATCTTAGGCATGGCTTTCTAGGGCGACTAGACACTAATTTACGTCACAGCGTTCATGACACTTTGGTTATAGAGCCGTATGCTTCAAAATAAATGTCACCGTGCTGAAGATCAAAAAGTACAAAATATCAAAGTAAGAGCGACTTCCAATATGATCATCTTAGATGATTCGAGATGATCAGAAGTACTTGGACTTGAAAGTACTTGGCTCACGACGATAATGCTAGAAATGGCCCTAGAGACAAATGAGGATTATCACTGTGAAATAATTAGACTTTTCACACACTCTTTAACAGCGCCACATGCGCAGAATGAGTATGTAGTTTTCCACTGGGAAGTTCTTCAGATCGCAATACTGGATGTCATACCGAGGATATATATTATTCTTTCGAACTGAATCGAAGAACTTTTAATAGTTGTAGGCGTGTGGTTTCAGACTTTCATTCAATTCCCGAATATACGGGAATGCGCCGCATACGCTAGCTAATAAAATGGCTCTCACCTGTAATACAACTTTTCCTACGTGTTTACCGGAAGCCATCAACCGGAAGGCTGCCTCGGCTTTGTCGCGCGTGAACAGAATGGTGTCCAGAGGCCGAACGACACCGGACGCTATGCCGTCCCGAACCATTTCGAAGAGACGACGCTTTGCAGTGACCATCAGGCTTTGACCGACCAGTATTTTGTCCATCACTATGCCATGGAAAGTGGCATTTCGATGAAACGCTGGACATTTCCAAAGACGAGTTGTTTGACAAGTCGAACTGTCGGATTCCAGGAAGCGGCCCCCATCTGCCAGGCAGCGTACACTCGCCTGGGGCTTGTCTTCGGCCAGAAAGTTGAGAACAAGGTCAACACCTGCAGTAAAATCGAGAAAACGAATCGTTGTCAGACTTGCGTCGCTTACAAGGCTCAAGGAATAGATTATGTCACGTACATTATAGGAGATCAGTTAAGCGATGAGGAATCCTCTGGGCTAGGGGTAGGGTTATATATTATTCAATTCGGTGAAAGGCGAATTTCAGGCGCGTTCTATCGAGTCGTATCATTACATCGATGTGTAATAAATTACCGCATTACCAATAACAGCTATGGATTTACAAAAGATATTAGCTGATAAGTGCTAAAAAGCTGCAATAGATAGTAAGTAGTTAATTACATTAGTGCCTAGCTGGTTCATAAACTATTATTTTCACGCAGACAAGAGCCTTTCTTAACTTATGCATTTAAACAATACTGTGCTGAAAAGAAGTGAGATTGAGACCGAATGAGTTATCAACTGATTGCCCAATGTTTATCAAAGTGAAAATATTTTGCGCTCAAGCTATTATTTGGGTTCATCATACAAATGCTGATGAACGCTTTCCTGTGTTGTTTATGCGTGTTAATTTCAAAGGAAGTTCAGACTTGAGACTCGGATGGCAACACCTGTCTGCAGGAAGCCCCTCACTGAGCTGTAACTACTTTAGGAGTCGTATTTTTTGTCTTTCTAAAAAAGGAAAGGGCACACATAGAAGACTCGAAGGTTAAATGTGCGTCCAGGCCTTTCATGAAAACCTCTACTCACCCGTGCCCTTAGTCTCGCCCAGTATGTGTGTCTCAAAGGACAGGTCCAGCGAGCTGGCAAAGTGCCGATCTTCAAGTTCCGGGAAGCGACGTCTCAGAAACTCTTTCTTCAGTGAGGAACCTGTTATTAGAATAATCATTTCAGAAAAACAAAGCTAAATTTTTTTACGCGCATGCAGCAAAACTGGGGCAAAGATAATATACTCATCCGAGACTGACACCGCCATATGTGTCTGTCTAAGTATATTTTGATTTCCTCTCTATCATAATTCGAGTAAAGAAGTATGAACAAATACAACTAGAGCTAGTCGTTGCCGAGACTTTTCTGCGTCGAAATCACCATATGTTATGCTGTAGAAGCTACTCGGAAATAATTATCTCTAACTTGCTTTTGCCTTTAGGTCAAATTCAATTGTGATCACAATGGCAGAATTTACTATTGAACTTGCGCCCTTGAGCTTAGCAAACAAGACAAAACTATAGTACTTAAAATTCATACATATATTCAACAGATCGCCATGCCTGCGTCAAACATGCACCACAGTCAAAGCGAAAGCTGGAAGAGCGCCCTTTCTAGAGCTCTCTTATAAACAAGCAAGCTTACAAGGTGCCCACCATCTCATAGAACATAATGTCTTTGTAAGGTGGAAATGCGACGACTGTGCCATTATTGACCACTTTGTAGAGAGGTCTGCTAGCAGCTCCATATCAGTAGGGCATTATGTGCTCTTTGTTGATGCTGTGGTAGAATACAATGAAGAATTGAAGCTCAGACCATTGTGATGGGGTGGGAGGAACTTTAAATCACGCCCTTCTCTCGCAATTTACATTGCGAGAGTACTAGTTCTTACTTTACTCTTCTACCATGCTGTAATACATATGTTAGCACAAAACCGCGGGCACCATGGCTGGAATGAGCAGTCGGATAGCAAACGACAGAGCGGGGCTAATATAGAAGAACATAGACTCGTTCGTTGCATCTAATATAGGCAAGGTAAGGCACTGCCGTATGAGGCAATGGCAAACCAGGAGGCAAAACAACTAAACGCCGAATAGCAACCTGCTAGTCGGCGCTTGTGGCGTCTCGAAATTTGAATTGTGTCCATATTTGAATTTCCTGTATCTAAATATTACTTCAAAAGCTGTTTGAAAAATTTATTTGGAAGAACACCAATAATCCGCCAACATCACTTCCTTTGCGCAAACGCTTGTTCTATTTCGGTAAGAGCATGAGCGCCAATCGTGCGCTAGTCAGGGCCTGCATTTATGTGAAATTCCTCATTTCATTTTGTCAGTCAAAACTCATACCCCGTGGTCTTTCTATATCATCCTCTACACTTGTTCAACAGAGATAATACGCTCCCGGAAAGGGGTTCCAAAAACTAAGGGGCATGTCAATGTCAGAATGACGATAACATGATTGCTTGCAAGCAAGTCGTGTTTTCATGCATCACAAAGTAACGCTTTTAAGAAATACGAATTGAACTGCCCAGGTGCTTTTTGCGTATTCATTGATGTAACTTAGTAGCGTGCGTTCTAATGATCACATCGTAACTTATATTTAGTGCACACTGATACATAGACAAAGAAAAGAAGGGTACAACACCAGTCCTATTATCCACTGAAGCATTTATTCAGAAGAGGAACATTTATATATCACTGTAGCCGCCCTTTGCCCTTGCGCACCATCGTTATTTCAAATCCGAAAATCGTACCAGATCTCATGTGTTTATTATCGGCTTTAGCAGTGACACTTTTTCGAAAATTGTCACAGACAGATGGCTGATACAAGACGATTGCCTAATGTTGATGTGAAATGCCTGTGCGATCTCTCGTGCGGTGTGACCATGATGCTCTAACAAAATGATTGTATTTGAAAAGCGTGCCTCGCATCCACTTTTCGTACAGTGTAAGGGCAAATGCGTCAGTGGCCTGCCCTTTAAAGATAACTGGTGCTTCCTTAGGCGAATATTCATTCAGTGACCAGTCTGCGCCACATACACTTGTCCGCGTGTGAGAAGACTACAGTAAACAAGGTTAAATGCACATAGAACAAAACAGACCCTGTGCCTAATCTTGCAAGTTTGTGCGCCTCCTCGTCACACTGCATCAGGCTCCTTCCTGACCATGGGACACAGCTTAGTTAGTTTATTTTTGGCCATGAAAACAACATTTACCCCTTACCTAAGGGACGTCTTTTTAATTCGTTGTGACAGCGCATATATGTACGGTATCACCACAACTCTGCCCCATTCCTGTTCCAGCTATTGATCTTGGCTTCCTTTTATGAGCTTAATAAGGTGCCTGCAAGTTTCCTGCAAAACAGACTCAGGAAAGCCTGAGTGTTTTA